ATATATAAAACAGTTGTATTAACATTTACGTTTTAAATATAATTCATGTTTTATCTTGAAAATGTTTAAAATTTACATTAAATTAGATAACTACTTCGCATAAGCTTTACATTTAGGTTGATAAAATTTTATTGAAAATATTTTAAAAATCTTAGTGTCTTTAATCAAAAAATAGCTCATCATAAAAATTGTATCGCCGTTCGGCGTCGGCGTAAGTTTGTAGGTCCCTCCCATTTGTGTGACAGCAAAGGCGCACGCTACAAATCGGAGGAGAAGCTCGGCAAAAACTTAGCAAAAGTGTCTAGGCCAAAATGTGATTATTATAAATAAATTTAGTTTCAAACAGGTCGCAACCCTCTTCAAACACCTCAAAAGTATTCCCAATATTATTTAGTTGTGAACCCGCATGAGTCCGAAATTACCATTTTTTACCAGAATTTCCAGATTTTACCGGAAATCGTACTTGGTTTTCTGGCAACTGAGAGGACAAATAAGAGAGTAAGTAAGGTCATCTCTTTGTCAGAAGCTACCTGGTGGAAAATTCTGGTAAATCTGGCAAAAGATCCGATGTAGTGTGTTTGACAACCAAATTGATGCTAATGAGTTTTGGTTAAATTACAAAACGCTTAAAAAGGTATTAGCTGTAATTTTACGTTTAAAAACTTTAAAACTTTAACACATTACCACCCTATACTCTATATCCCTTTCAGACCCATGGCTAAACTACTTGTGCAATTTTTTAAATTTTTAGTTATGTTCATGTTTTTATGACCCTAAAACCGAAATCACTTCTTAGTACAGTTAATCTTATGTCCTTCCAAGTTTTTAAGGACTCGCACAATTGATGCATGTGGGCCTATCTTGTAAAAAAACACGAGATTATTTAAACGTTGATTTTTACCAAAAAATATTTATTTGTCAGTATGATATTCTTTGAAACAATTTTTATTCTTGGATAAACATAAGAAAACATTACATTTTTCACATCTCGTGCGTGTACGCGATGAGCAACCTTTACGCCGACACATTTTTGCGGATTTTATGTCCTCTTCAGCTGGCCAATGATGCAATCCATCTTGACGCTTTTCGTTACAAGGATGCTCTGCAGGACGGCGTCTCTTTGGCGGCAAAACTTCTTCCTCATCCGTATCCGATCCAGAGAACCATTCAACGTTTTTTTTTTTTTCGATGCAAACGAGTGCTTCGGCTACAGAAAGCCGAAAAGCTAACAGGTCAAGTGTATCTTTCAAAGGAGTTTGAGCTTTACGACAGTCTTCGCGGTACTCCATCCATGCGTTACAACAAGCCAAATCAATAAAGTGAATGGTTACTTTTAGTGGCCATTTTCTCGTTTTAAAAAAAGTACGATATGCTTCCATTAGTTGATCGCAAATATCGACACCACCCATCGATTTATTATACTCTCTGACAACGCTTGGGCATGCAAATTGCATAAATTTCTTTTCTTTTTTGCACCATCTTTTAACATCCGTAACTGGACCACATCCAAATGCAGAAGACGCTAATAATACAGATTTAGAATCCTTCCATTGTACGATAACATGTTTATCATCAGGACTACAGAATTCCTCCATATCTCCTCTTTTCATTTTTCTTTCCTCAGTCATAGTGATACATTTTACTCTATTTTTCATAATCGTTCCAGTGCCGAATATTCCCTTTGCCAAAAGTCGATCTAAAAGGGGTAGGGTTGTGAAATATCTGTCAAAAAACACTTTGGAACCTTTAGGAAGTGTTTGTACAAGTCGCAAAACAAATGCTGGTCCGACTCCAAGGTCTTCTTCTGTAAGTGGCGTGGTTTTGCCTTGATATATTTCGAAATCCAGCACCATCCCTTCTGATGTTGTGAGCACTTCATTTTTCAGACCGATACCCCTTGGTTTGTTTGGCAGGCTTTGTCTCGCTGGACAACGACCGGTAAATGGAATCATTTGTTCGTCAATTGAATACCGGCCGTGCTCCTTCCTTGGAATACTGAGACAAGCTCTTCTTACTGCATCAATAACTGGCTGAACTCTCCAATATACGTTAGCTTTTTTCTGCGACTCTGTGATATCATTTTCGAAGACAACGTGGAATG